GGAGTGTCTGCTAATTTCCCCTGCAGCCATACATCCATATGGTAGGTACCACAGGTCTAGTTGACCTCCTACTTCTGGACACTTGCCAGACTGCTGTGATAAAGTCCTGCTGTGTCGGACCTGTGCCTTAAGTTCCTGGGTTTGAGCAGAATTCGGATGCTACCTCTCGCTTCGGGCTTTTACACCTGCTAGCGAGGTGCAGATCTTCTGTCAAGTGCCCTTTTGGCAAGCCGAAATCCCACAGTCCAACTGCCTGATTCCTGCAACTCGTGTCAGCTCTCTGAGATCTCCCGATTGTTTAAACGCGTCCCTTCTTGGAGCTCCAATTTTGAGGGCGCTCTGATACGTATTTACAATTTACCTCCTCGGGAACATGAGGTAGATGAAGTGTGTAACAGGGAAACTTTGCAACAGGTTCCAAGACCAGTCGTCCTTTACTTTAGATCACATAAGAGATCTGCAGATCTAGACAAAACAATAAAACACCGAAGGCGTGGCCAGACAAGTGAGAATGTGCACTCCCCGGGGACAGCTAGCAGTGGCACATATTTGTTGTCCCCAGGGAATGCCACTGCACACGTGCTCTGGCGCGTGGCAAGTTGCCCTGGGTGGGGTAGGGGAGGCTGGGGGCAGCACCTGGGCTAGCCCCAGCATCCTTACCCGTGGTCGTGGGGGTCTCCTGGGGCTCCAGCAGCAGCAATCCAGGTGCACAGAGCCTGGCTGACAACTGGAGTGTGATCAGCCAGACTCTGGTTTTGGGCAGCGCACACTGCTGCTACATGCATTGTGCTGTTTTCTTCTGCCACAAGGTTTTTTTGACACTGGGGTTTTCTAGTGTCAAAAAACCCTGCTGCACTGCCAATTAGCAGTGCAGCAAACACCTGCATGTGCGGCGCGTGCAGTTTTGCGCTCGTCTGACCGTGCCCTTAGACGCCATTCCTTACCACGCAGAAGCATTCAAGAGAACGTGTGTCCTTCTTCTCTGAGCCATGGAATATGGAGTCTATTTGCTCTGACCCCTCCAGCCAGCTTCCTTTACCATCTTCCTCCAAAATCCCGTGCCTTTGTTCCTTTCTCTTGCCCTAAGCCCTTTCCATGATTCCACCACTATTGGAGATTTTCCATTTTCTACAATCCCTGTGGATAAATTTGGTTGAACTGATTTTCTTCAAGCTCAGGCATATCCAGCCAGAGCAATTTGTTCAAGTTAATGAGTTCTATTGTTTGCCGTGTAGCTTCTTCCAGGCAGTTTGGGGGGGTGATGTGTGACCGGGGCCTTCTGAACCCAGGGCTCACTCACGGAAATGTCAAGCTTTCATCATATGGAGCAATTTCATAAAATTAACCAGAATGATTTTAAATTGTGGAGAGACATAGTTTCCCAAATAGTTGAGGTAAAACTGCTTTTATAGGTTATTAACTGTCTGTCTGTGTGTTTTTTGTACTGAAACTCTGTGATCTAAAAAGTAACATTTGTTTTTATACACTTATCCCAGTAGAACTTGGATGTTTTGTAGCCTTCTTTGTTGTATAATCTGGTCTAATATAATTGGAATTTGAATAGTCTAGAAAGCCAGCTTGGAGTTAGTTTTCTACCGATTTTTATATTAAAAGTTTGCGATCTGGAAAGTAATATGGTTCTAATTACTTATTAACATATTGTTAGGAGCCTAATTTTGTAGAATTTTTACTGAGTTATCTGACTAATAAAGAAAAGCAGTTCTGATTCAGTTCCTTATTGATTTTTTTTGCATTAAAACTGTATGGTCTGGAGAGTAATATGCATTCTATTACTGGTGCTCATCTTTAATTTTGTAGCTTTTATTATTAAATATTCAAGTTCAGCTTTACTGGGAGAAAAATGAAGTTTGGCTTAGATGTCAGTGTTAAAACTTTATGCAATTTTTTCTGTCCCCTTAGCTTTTCAAAATGCCATATAGATACTTCACGTTTTTGCAGGCCCTGTCAACATGTTTTTATTTGTTTTATTGTATCCTATAAATTATAGAATGTACTTGTCAATTTTTAATTTAAAAATGAAATTATGAGCGAAATTCGTTTAAAAATTGTCTGACGAACAGTTCATATAGGATGTCACCGTTTGATGCTTATTAAACTGATCTAAAGTGTTCAGAATCGTCCTTGCTTATTCATTGAGAGGAGTGCTGGAGTCTTTAAGAGGAAAGAAAAAAATTGTATAAAATGCATGACATTTATTTGATAACCAGAAATATTTCTCAGAAGAGCTTCTTCTCAATGCTCATTATGAAGAAAACATTATTTGCTGCTACCTGTGCAAAACCACTTAGTTAAACTTTAAGGGCTAGATTGTTTCCTTAGACATCTGTCTGAATGTATACCACCTCAGACTCACTAATTAATCTGTTCTTATTGCACCCATGTGAGGTAGAGAAAATAACAACACACAAGTGACAGATGGAAATTGAGATGCAAAGGGTGAAATCCTGAATTTCACCCAAGTTGGTTAAGAGGCAGATCTTTCCCTGGTGTAAATTGTCGTAGCTCTGTTTACTTCCATTTAAACCAGTTGAGAATCTGCCCCTAAGGCTAAGTACGGAGGTTCAAAAAGCCTGAGGCAGAACCGATTCGGTCTTCACAAGCGTTTCTAAGCTGTGTAGATTGAACTGATAACAAACTGAACTGATGTTCAGTTGTTGGGTGGCCAAGATGAGCAAAAGCCTGCATACTAATGACCTCTGCTTCTGTTTTCACCTCGTGGAATATTGTTAGCAGTGGTGACCCACGTGCGAATAAGAATTTGAAAGCTTCATGTGACCTTTCAACATTATTAAACCCCCGAATTCACAATCTGAAAGTATAATTTAGGATATTTTGACTCGTGACAATATTGGAAGATATTAATCATGAGATTTTTGTAAGAAGTTTTGTTTTCAGCATCTCCTTCTTATCAAAATTCTTTATTTACTGGAAGACTTGTTCTGTTGTGATAATCATTCTCCATTTAAACTTAGTTTTCTGTTTTTTTAAAATGAATTTCAAAGTTTTGAGAGAGGATTTAATGCTTGTGAAGGTGAAAAACTAATAGAATTGACCCGCATTAGGTGTAATAGACATTATGTACATTTCTTTTTTTACACTTCTGATGAGCGGACACTTAAAAATATGTACCAGATCATCCACTGTTATTGCCTTCTAACTAGATATTTTTTAAGAGGGTGCTTGAAGGAGGCTCCTGAGCTTTTTTGCACTTTTGAACTAAGGAGCATTTTAACCGGTGGTACATTTCTTAGAGGTTAAGATATCCCTATTAAACCACCTACATCTTTTTCCTAAACATTTTAAAGGAAATGGCTGAAATATTGGTGGCTTGTAATGGATGAGTTTTCTATTTTATCAAAATATTTTTCTTTGCTTTTGTGTTTCAGATGATGTGGCACCCTATTTCAAGACTGAGCCAGGCATGCCCCAGATCCATCTCGAGGGGAACCGTCTTGTCCTCACATGCCTTGCTGAAGGCAGCTGGCCATTGGAATTTAAATGGTTGCACAATGACAGTGAAATCACCGCCTACTCCAGTGAATACAAGTAAATAGATTTAAAAAAAAAAGAAACTATTGTCTAATTGTAATATTTTGTGATTGCACTTAGGAGAGGTTTGCTCTTAGGCACAGTAGAACTGTATGCTAATGACAACAGGCATTTTCGTGGTATAATTTAAGAAGAAAATTGGGACAAAGGCAATAAATGGAATGTGAGACTGTGTGGGCCTGTGTGAAAGCCTTTTCCTCTTTTTGCTAAAAAAACCATGCTGATAATGCATAAAAATCCTGGGTAATGCAAAAAATAAAAAAGCTGACTTCTTCAAGGATTTCTTCATGGTGATGCTCTTCTAAGGGTGCTTACTTTGAAAGTGGTTATTTTTTCCTGGTAATGTGATTTTTCTATGAAGTAGATACTAATTTAAAGTGAATAGTTTATTGTTTTAGAAGTAAAACAAAAAGCTCTTGATTTCAACATGTGTTTTTCATTGTGTTTGTCTACAACTCTGGATACCTTGCTTCTCTATTAGGTAATGAGGTATAATGAGTTAAAAGCAGGGCAGATTTCACATACTTACGAATGCTCAGCTCTCCTCCTCCATGGAGAACTGAGTTCACTTAGACTACTTTTATGAATAAGTACATCTCATGTGATTAGGGTGGTAGAACAGATTTCTTAGCATATAACTGCCACAGTTTTTTTTTTGGTTTTGCTTCTGGGAATGTGAAGTTTAATTATCAAAATATAATATAAGCAAAACATTGTGCTTTCTGCTGTACAAGCCATATCTATGAAATCAACAGCAAACACAAAGCCTTAAATACTTGAACAATTATTTTAGAAGTGAGAGTTAACTTCTCAGGGTGTCCATAAAAAAGCACAAAAACAGGCACCATTTTAAACTATATCTACTGTTCTAAGAATGAAGCTGATAATGCAGCCAATCAAAACTCATCCTACAGTGGTTTCCTAGGTAACCAATATATCATTATTAGAGAGAAGGATTCCACACTTTGAAAGGAAACCAAATAAAAATAGGGGTATATTCTACTTTCTACTATTTTTTTATACAGTAGTATACTGAAAAGAGTAAGTTTTGTGGCTACAAGGTCCATGCTAACCATTTGCTGGAGGTCTAAAGACTGCACCTAGTTTAAATACATTTTCTCATCCCTTTAAAAGTATCTTAAAATTGTCCTTCTCATTTAGAATAAACGAAACAAAAGTAATATATAAGAAGTTTTTTAGTGGAGAAATTCTTTCACCTATTTCCATTTCCCTGTTCCGTCTTTACTCTCTTTTCCATAAAATCATAGAAATTAGAAATAAGACCCTCTCCTTCAGCATTGCTGCATTGTTCCTTATGAGATCTGCCTTTATCTTTTCTTCCACTTTTCAGATTTTTCTCCATAATACCATATTTACCCAACTGAAGATTTTCCTGAATTTAAGACAAGCCCCCAAGAACTAGATTCTATAGATGGAAAATTTACAAATTTGTTATAATTTTCCATGTGTAACATCTAATTATTGGAGGGTCATCTTAAATCTACCCCCCATCCACTGCTGTGTCAGGGGCCAGGCTGTTGAGAGGGGCAGTAGGAGGGCAGGCAGTGAGGATGCAGTAGGGCATAGGTGGTGAGCAAGACAGTAGGGGACAGGCTTTGGGAAGGTGGTGGTAGGGGAGGCAGTGGGGCTTGACCCCCCTACACCTTGCCCCGTTGTCTTGTCTACCAGCACCACTTGGCCCTCCGCCACCTCTTCCCCCCACTACCTGACCCTGCCACCTCTGCTCCCCCCGACTACCTGACCCCAGCCCACAGCCTCAGATCCCCCTTCTCCCCATCTCCTCTCTGCCCCCTGCAACTCCTTCCACCACTTACCCTTGCTCCAGCTCTAGCAGGGTCTGTCCCCAGTCCAGCCTGGGGCATGGAGCATGTTTGGTCTGGCCCCAACTTGGTCCCATAGCAGCAGTGGCAGCATGGCAACTCTCAAGGGAGTTTTTCTCATTCACAGTGTTGGGGGTTTTTGCTGCTTGAGAGAGTGATTCATTGTGGACTCGATCCAGAGTAGTTCCAGCTGTACTTTATCTTTTATTTGGAATGCCGCATGCTTTGGGATTCTTTGTAACAAGACTGGAACGACTGTTTTATAAGAAAACAAGAAAATGGTAGCCAATATGCACAAGGAGCACAAGTTTACAGTTGAAGATTGAATATTGAGCCTGAATCCTTTTGCTTAGCTAATGGTAAGCACTGATTCTTGCACTGGGTAGTTGCTTAGAAATATCACATATATACATTTTCTTTTGGTTAATGCAGATCCAGACAGCTGATGATAACTTAGCATCTATATGTTGCAATGTTATATATTTAAAAATGCTATGTGAACATTAATTAGTCCTCAAGAAAATCCTTTGGGTGCTTTAGGTAATACTTTTACTCGGAGAGAAAATCACAATAGAAGAAAAAGCAAAGGCCTTGCAGTGAATGACTAGAGCTACGATTAGAGTTTAAGATGCTTTCATGCATTTCAGGGTTCGGTCCATATGACTGAACTGCTTTTCAGTGTAGTGGAAGAATTGTCAGCTGTTTGAAGAGACCAAAGAGAATGAGATGGTGACCTCTAATGTACATATAATGGTAGCCAGATACTTCAAGCAGTCTTCTCTCAGGTTTCCAATTCCAATGTGTCTCTTAGGATTCCTTCAGCTAGAAAGATGAAAGGAGTTTTGTACAGATAGTTTGAATTTTTAACATGGCAGCTACAAGCCTTCATCTACACCTTCCATGGTTTTGAACAGTCACTGAATGATGACCGAGCTGAAGGCTGAGAACTTTTTGTGATCCAAATACTCCAAAATACTCCATTGCCTCATAGCAGTGAGGCTTTTAGATGTTACTATTTAATAGGCTGGCTAGTTTTCTGCTGGGCTGTAGTGTACTCGGCTTCAGACACTATGGAGATTCCTAAATAAATATGTGATATAAAAAAGGCTTTTATCTTGTAAACCCTCTAAATTCCACTTTTAATCAGGGGCAGGCAATTATTTAGGGTGGAGGGCTGCTTAATGAGTTTTGGTGAGCTGTCGAGGGCCACATGGGTAGCCCCACCCCTTAACGGATGCCTTGCCCCTTTGTTGCCATCTTGGGAAGTTCCAACCCCTAACCCCTGACCTTTGCCTCCAGAAATCCCTCCCCTTGCCTGCTGGAAATACTCCTTTTGGAGGGAGGGGTTGCCATCTTAGAACCAGAAGAAAAACCCAAATCATACACCAAGTCAAACACCCACTATAACATATTTTAATTTTATTACAAAAATTTTTTGACATGATTTGTTTGTTAACTTTATATAGAGGTGATTGCATAATAACTCAAAAATAAATTCTTAGTCTTGTATATTGTGTGGGGGTGTCTGTGTATGGTGGGGTGGAGTGGGGTGTGTGAATGGTAGGATGTAGGTGTGTATGTGATGGGGTGTGGGGGGTTTGTGGTGGTGTGTTGGGGGGTTGTGCATATGGAACGGTTGTAGGGGCAGGGGGTGAGGGAGGGCGAGGGTACCCCTGCACTCCCCCCCCCCCCCCCATGGTGCAGCAGCTGGGGTGCTCAGGGTGCAGGTGCCCAGCTGGGTGCAGCTTCAGTCAGCGCTGCACATCACAGTGAAGAGCACAGCCTCCACCAGGCCGTCTGTATTGCTAGCGCTCCCTGCCACACACGTGCAGCCCCTGCATTCTCTGGGCACAGGAAGGAAGCCCCAGGCACTGGAGCTGGCTGCCTTCCTTGCCTGGGGCTTCCCTCCCCTTCTGTGCAGCTCCGGTGTTGGAAGGCAGCCAGCTCCAGTGCACAGGGCTACCCTCCTGTGCCCAGTGAGTGCAGGGGCTGCACATGAGCGGCAGGGAGTGCTGGTGATTACAGATGGCCTGGCAGAGGTCGTGATCCTCTCTGTGATGTGTGGCGCTGGCCAGAGCTGCGCCCCGTTGGACACCTGCACCCTGACCCCCCCGCCGCCTGCTGCTTCTGCTGCTGCCACCAGTTGCTGGGGCTGTGCGCCAAGGGGGAAGTGTGGGTGGGTCCCACACCCTCCACTCTTCCTCATACCCACATGCTACCCCCACAGACTCTGCGCTGCTGCTGTGCTGGGCTTGCACTACTGCCAGATCCAGCCTCATGCTCCCGCCCAGCTACAGCCCTGCCCCTGCTGCTTTTCTACCTGCTGCCTGGAGCCAGCAGGAGACTGGGGAAGCAGAGCAGGTTCCCTGGGGCTGCAGCAGCGGCAGCATCAGCCAGAAGCTGTGCTGGTTCGGCTGTGTCCTTCCCCATAGAGGTAGGATCAAGATGCAGTAGGGTATATTTGGGGCTGTGTGTACACATGGGCACTTCATTCTCACCCTCATGGGTGGAAGGGCTGGGTGGGGTGCATTTCATTGGGGGGCGGCGTGGGCTGGATGAAAGTGTTTGGCAGGCTGGATCTGGCCCGTGGGCCGTATTTTGGCCACCTCTGCTCTTAATATTGTAGCATAAGTGTTCCCTCTGACGCTTAGAAGTCAAAATAGGTGGTGTACCTGGCATAAAGTCTGAACTACTTTTTAGAATCAAATGTGCTAATTTCTTCATCTAGGGAAGAGCTTCTTCTGTCTGAAAGAGGAAGCCAAGTTTGCATTCTGTAGTCTTTTCTTTTTGTATCTAAACTCAGATTTCCCATTTCTTCCATTCAGGCTCCGGTAAGAGATCTTTATAAGGGTTTAATTTTTATCTCCTGGGATTCTGCTATGATGATTTGGTCCCTAAAAAGTGATGATTTTTTATCATATAGGAACTGTGAGTTGTGAAATAATTTTCTGGGAATAATTAGCAGAATTCCTTTCCACTGCAGTCTGTAGTTAACTCCAATATTTTCTCTTCTCTCCCACATAAGAGAATACACTTGCCTCCATAGCAACTTGTAGTTCTGCCAGCATTTTCCTGTAAAATCAGGTTGCCTTCCACCAGTGTGAGTTATGTGAGCTACACCTTGTAGACTACACCAAGGCATTCCCAGTTTGGGCT